AAAGTACTAGGATTATAGGTGTGAGCCACCTCGCCCAGCCTGATTTTACTTTTTAATTTTTTTTTGAAACAGCCTGCTCTGTCGCCAGGCTGAAGCGCAGTGGCATGATCTCAACTCACTGCAACCTCCACTTTCTGAGTTCAAGCGATTCTCCTGCCTCAGCCTCCCAAGTAGCTGGGATTACAGATGCCTGCCACCACACTCAGCTAATTTTTGTATTTTTAGGAGAGACCAGGTTTCACCTTGTTGGCCAGGATGGTCTCAATCTCTTGACTTCGTGATCTGCCCACCTCAGCCTCCCAAAGTGCTGGGATTACAGGCATGAGCTACCATGCCCAGCCCCTACTTTTTAATTTTTAAAAATTATCCTTGAATATCCCATAGTGGCCAGTTATTCATGGTGTTGAAATGAACTGGATTTCTTAGTTGACTGTGATTGTTTTCAGTATTTTCAGAAATAAGTCTCCATTCCTAACTTCAAGCAATCTTCCTGTCTCTGCTCTCCCAAAGTGCTGTGATTACAGGCATGAGCCACCACACCTGACCTTGAGAACATTCTTATGTCAACAAGGTGGTGAGCAAAAAAAAATAAGGATTTGGGGTGCTCCAGCTTCCCTGGGCTACAGGTTTATGATCCTGGTTCTGCCACGTCCCCGCTGGTTCCTTGGATAAGTTCATTGAGCTCCCTGGGTCCTTCCTCATCTGCAGAAGGGTTGTGATGATGGGCTGGTCTCACAGGGCTGCTGTGAGATGCAGGAGTTAGTACACTGCTACTCAGTGAGCGCAAGCTCGGTTAACATTAGCTACCACCCGGCCCCGCAAACCTGTGCTCCTTCACTCCCTGCAGTTTACATTGCATTCTCATCTGCATAGCCGTTTCTACTTTTAGCTTCTCAGCAAGCTGTGGGGTAGGCATTTTACAGATGAGAAAACCGAAAGAGGCTGGGAAATGTGCCAGGGTCACATGGCACTTACACAGCTCAGCCTCCTGACTCAGCCCAGCACTTTTCCTGTCTCTTTGCTGAGAGCACGGTTACCACCTGGAGCACAGGGTGGTCCCCTGGACCCACCCCAAAGCTGCTGGGAAGCCTGCAAAGAAATCTGAGTCATAGGAAATTGAGGCATCTACTTCAGATCCTATACTGTGGGGTCTCATGGAATATTTTGGTCCTAGGTACTAAATTTGACTTCACTCTCTGTGAAAAATTATTCTGTGATGTCAACGGTGGATACTGAATGTCCATCTGGCGAATTTATCAGTCAGGTTCTGTGGCCAAGAAGAGATAACAATTGGGAAGTACCCCAGTCAGGGTTTCTCAATCGTTTTTGGTCCTGTCCATGGTCCAAATGGAAGAGACTGGCTGGGCGGGGCTCACGCCTGTAATCCTTGCACTTTGGGAGGACGAGGAAGGTGGATCCCCTGAGGTCAGGAGTTCGAGACCAACCTGGCCAACATGATGAAATCCCGGCTCTGCTAAAAATACAAAAAAATTAGCCAGGCATAGTGGCAGGCACCTGTAATCCCAGCTACTCGGGAGGCTGAGGCAGGGGAATCGCTTAAGCCCCCAGGGGGCGGAGGTTTCAGTGAGCCGAGATCCTGCTACTTCACTTCAGCCTGAGCGGAAAGCAAAAAACTCCATCTCAGGAAAAAAAAAAAGAAAAATGGAAGAGACATTTCAGTACCACAGGCTAGCACGGTTTCTGAATGAGACTCCTTTTACGGGTGTAGTAAAGGTAGACAGTAAGCCACTCCCATTTTGTGCATCACTGTTGCTCTATTTATTTTTTCAAGACCAAGTGTCACTCTGTCACCCAGGCTGGAGCAGTGGCACAACCAGTCGCTGGGTTACCCAGGCTGGAGTACAATGGTATGATCATGGCTTACTGTAGCCTCAGTCGCCTGGGCTCAAGCAATCCTCTCACCTCAGCCTCCCAAGTAGCTAGGACCACAGGTGTGTGCCACCACAACTAGCTAATTTTTTTTTTTTTTTTTTTTTTTAGATGGAGTTTGGCTCTGTTGCCCAGGCTGGAGTGCAATGGTGCAATCTTGGCTCACTGCAACCTCCGCCTCCTGGGTTCAAGCCATTCTCCTGGCTCAGCCTTTCGAGTACATAGGATTACAGATGCGCATCACCACACTTGGCTAACTTTTTGTATTTTTGGTAGAGATGTGGTTTTGCCATGTTGCTCAGGCTGGTCTTGAACTCTTGACCTCATGTGGTCCACCAGCCTGAGCCTCTCAAAATGTTGGGATTACAGGCGTGAGCCATCACGCCTGGCCACCTGGCTAATTTTTGTACTTTTTGTAGAGATGGGGTTTTGCCATGTTGTCCTGGCTGGTCTCAAACTCCTGGGCTCAAGCAATCCTCCTGCCTCAGCCTCCCAAAGTGCTGGGATTACAGGTGTGAGCCACCATGGCTGACCTACTCTGACTTGCTTAGATACCAGTGAGATCATCCATAGAGAAGGTCTAAGTGCTTTGTGGATTGCATTAACCTCGCTGTAGATGGCCATGAAATCATTTTCAAAAATGTACTCGTCTTTAAAGAAGTGTTTTTATTATTTGTGAATTTTGCTTGGGCTTGAGGATGTCTTTGGAGTTTAGAAATCCATGATGAGGCATGAAATAATTTGTTTTCCCGGATGTTTACCTGCCCGAGCAAATGACCCTTGTTAGTTTATTTAAGGCTTTGTGTAGGCAAGAGGACCTAATTGGCAGATGTGTCTGTGACTGGACATAGAAGGCATTTTTCTTTCGTTAGCCATCTTGTTTGTGTGTCTGGAGGGAAGTGGCAAAATCAGTCACCAGGGAGCATGTGGGAAGCTGGTGAAATATTGCAACAAGAGCTGGGAAGGGCTTGAACATTCCATGGGGGCAGGATACATCTTCAACCTCAGGTGAGCTGACTTAACAAGAGTTCAGGTTGACTGCTTTCTACCGGAAGCATCCTTCAGAACTGGAACTGGGCTGGGTGCCATGGCTCACTCTTGTAATTCCACGGGAGGCTGAAGCAGGCAGATCACCTGAGGTCAGGAGTTCGAGACCAGCCTGGCCACCATGATGTAACCCCATCTTTACTAAAAATACAAGAAAAAAAATTAACTGGGCATGGTGGCAGGTGCATGTATTCCCAGCTACCTGGGAGGCTGAGGCAGGAGAAATGCTTGAACCCAGGAGGCAGAGATTGCAGTGAGCCGAGATTGCGCCACTGCACTCCAGTCTGGTGACAGAGCAAGACTCTGTCTC